TATTTTTCCTGAGCTCTCTTACAATGTTCCAGGAGTGCCTAGGATTCACAAGTTAGAAATTTTGATAATAAATAGAACATTCCTGGAATGTTAGAAATATTTGTTCCTAAATCCAAAAGGTACCCTCTGCTTTATGAGCCAATATATATATACATGCCTCTGGAAGCCTTATCATTTTCTTCTAATCCTCACAAAAAATTAATTTAAATGAGTCTTCACGTAAGGATTTGTCTTTTCAAGACATCTGAAATATTTTTACAGAAAAATGATGAATGTTTATTTACCTTGTTGTTTTGAGTAGCCCCAGATTTGTCCTTTTCTATTGACTAATCAAATTTAAACATTTCCCAACATTTTGTTCTTGTGCAAAGATGGACAGTACGAAAACATGATGCAACTCAAACTGGAGGTGTGTATCCATTTCAAAGGTTTTAATATCTTGATTAACTTTTTTTTAGCTGATTACGTGAAGGTACCACACTCTGAGACAATATCTCAGTATCCTTCTACAAACACACAAAGAGGAATAATGGCCAACTATTTCCCAGTAATCTGCTTGTTTTCATTATCCTTGGTGCAATCGATGGCATTTTCTGGTAAGTAATTTGGCTGCTTCTGGTTGGTATGTGAGGATAATGTGTGAGCTCTGACTTTGTAATTCAAAAAAGAATATTTATACATTGGTAGGACCATCTTACCATTTCTACATACATAGAGGGAAAAGGAAGTGTGAGTAAAAATGCTTTGGACCAATGACCAAGGGCCTTAGTTTCCCAGTCTACTACATGCAGAAGGAGAGAGGTTGGTTTATGTGCTAATCCAGATCAATAATTCAGAATGTTTGAAAATGTTGCTGTGTATCTGAATGGATACTTTGTGTGTGTGTGTCTAGAGGAGAAACCCTGTAGAATGGCATAAAGAGACCTAATCTCAAGGATTGATGACTTGGTTTTTCACAGATTCACTATGAATGCCTGGGTATTACCTAAGCCAGTGTATATCCCTTCTTTGCAAGAGGGGAATTGATTTAAAGGATCACTTTATAGCGCTAGTGTGCTTTGTTTTCTTTTCTATGTTGATTATTTTTCATATATTGAATCCTATTAAGTACAGGCTAACAAGAATTTGTGAAACTTTAGGGATTTCCTTGGTACATTGTACTGACAGCCCTTATGAGAGGAGGATTGCATATAGCTAATATTTTTCTTATTTACCAGGAATAGCAGAGATATTGTACATTTTAAAATAAATAAGTATAATTGTACATGGAAATTAAACAATATTTTCAATTACTCTAAGCTTCTTTGGTAATCAATAGAAACACTTGTTCTATGAAAAGATTTAAATATGTATTGCCAGAGATTAAACTTTATAGCTCTTTTCATTTATGCTCTGGTTTCAGGACGTCATGAGTGGTGGCCACCACATGGAAAATTTAAGGTATTCCCTTAGTAGATTTCCTGTGATTGAGATTCTAATCTGAGTTTTCTTTGGAGATGCAATTTTAGAACCTGACTGCAACAGAGTCATATGTAACATTCACCAAGGCCTAAGGTAGGTGTGTCTGCGGCAGGTGAACTGAAGGTACACAAACCCCAAGGAGAGAGATCCAAACTGAGATAGAAGGCTAGAGGAGCGGCACACAAAAGAACTCTGATAATGCCTGAAAAACTTGATAAACACCAACAACTGTCAGGTGTGTGGCAGGTTCTTAAGCGCCTGCAAACTTGAACACTGCCTGCTTCCTGCTCTTGAGGAGCTCAAAGTTGGGTGGAGGCAAGTCCCTGGTGGAGATCTGCAGGCAAGCTTTAGGATATGAATGGGGGATAATAGAAAAGAGTAGAACAACTCTGGACAGGGCCTCAGGTGATATTTTCAGCTCTCACGAGAAGCAAGCAGAATGAAATATCATTTTCACTTTTGTCTATCCCTTCTATAGTAGATCTTATTATAACAACAAAAATGTGCAGCAATGGAAGGAAAAATGAAAGAGATATTTCATTTTGGTATACATTTACATGAATGTATACTTTCACTTGAAGAACAGGTTTTATTTTTTTCATTTTCTGTCTCATTAGTCAATTAAAGAGTCAGTTTTTTCCCCTTGAGAGAAAAGAAACCACACGTTGACTGGCAAAAAAATTATTTTGAGTGAATCTGAGCCATTAAGACCTCTGGATGGGATGGGGCAAACTGGCTGAGATCAACTGCCAATCTCAAGATTGAAATCCACCCAAGGCCCTGTGGATGAAAGCGCTGGTAAGCTGGTGTCATAAGATGCACAGCCAAGAAAACCCTATCCAGTGGTTCTACTGTGTAACATCTGGGCTCACTCGTGGGTCTGAATGGACTCCATCGCCATGGAATTGGTTTATTTGATTTATTTTGTTTGATATAATTTTGTATATCTTCTTACTTTATTTTGTTTCATATTTGTGTGGGGAATTCCTGGGACTGAGGAGCAGAGGGTAAAAGCTGTCTGGAGCTACAGTTTGAATAAGATAATCTTGCAGAAATTGACTAGAATTTATCCTCAGGGCTTATAGAACTCATTCCAGAATTTTCTTCCCAGGGGATACCTACCTGAGGAGTAATTTCATTTTTATTAATCCTCAAATATTTACTAATTATTACTCATTTTATTTAAGAAATATTACTGATTTCCTGTGCTGTATTCTGGATTTGCAATATTAAATTGTAATGGAGAATATACATGGAGTATAGATATCAAAAACACAAAACCGAACTAATTACCATTGAATTGTTTCTTAATCATAGAAACCCTATAGGACAGAGTAGAATTGCCTCCATAGGTTTTTAAGACTAAATTTATTTATTTTTCCTAACAGTTTTATTGGCATATAATTCACACATTCAATAGTTCAATCTCATCGAGAAGAGTTTTACTCTCATCACCACAGTTGATTTTAGAACATTTTCTTCTTTCTTTTACTCCAGAATGTAAGTCTTTATGAAAGTGGAAAGCCTCATCATTCTCCCTTGGAGTGACAGGTAGACAAAATGTTTAGCAAAATAAGATTCTGCCCTCCCCTCCGTGGGTGTATAGCTTCTTAGGTGGCTCTAGCATTGTATGAAGCACTAATTAAAATAGGTGGAGGCCTCTTCCATCTATCAAGTCTGCTCCAACTCAGGATGACGTATATGCAACAGAAGCAAATGTGGCCTGATGGTACATTTTTCTTCTGGGAACTGGCTGAGTCAGTCCAATGTGACTATTATACCAGTCCATTTGACTGAGGTTCTCCCACACCCTAATTGAATTTACGGGTCACCAAATATAATATTTTCCTCTCATGACTGATCCCTCCCAATGCTTTATGTGTTTAAAGCAGGCAAGTCAATGCGCATGTATCCATAGGCTGTGGTAGACTAATTTCTGGAATTAGATCATCTGGATTGTCTTCTTCATATTCTGTTAGACCGTCAGCTCAACTCAAACCTGCCCATCATAGGTGACCTTGCAAGCATTGGCAATACTGGTAGCATAGCCATCGGCAGCATCAAGATACAGAAGATACCACATTAGGACACATTGGCAGAGGCTTTGTGAGAAACTTATTAGAGGTATAAAAAGAAAGAATGGGTAGTATTGAGAACTATCTCTGAGAGGGTGAGTTTTTTCATGACCTAGGAAAGTAAAGGAAGTCTGGTGGAGTAGTTGGTTATTCATTGAGTTGCTAAACTTCAGGTCAGCGGTTAGAAGCCACCATTAACTCCACGGGAGAAAGATTGGACTTTCTACTCCCTCTGCCTTAAGTAGTTAAAGTCTCAGAAACTCACAGGGGCGGTTCTCCCTGTCCTATTGGGTTTCTGTGTGTTGGCATTGACTTGAGGACCATGAAGATTTTTTCAGAAAGGTAAAATGGATTTAAGTACAGAAGGAAAAAAAAAGCATGATGGCAATCCAGAAGATGAAGTGCAGGGAGAATGGAGCAATGAGCAAGGTGGTCTAACTTAAGTTTTGAAGAGTTGGGAGGACCCAGACAGATAGGGTTTTTTAGGAAGATGGGATTTCCTGTTAATGTCAAGTAACTAACATTAAAAGATCTTACACATCGGAATAAGATTGTCCAATTCATATTCAATTTGTGGAATTGGAAGAAATTGGGATACTGAGGGTATTAATTGGGCGACAGATGCACAGGGGGCAGACTGTGCTGATCTGGTCATTATTGATTTGGTGGCACAGGAAAGAAGAAAGAGATGCTCAGCTCAAAATTCTCTCTTCTTCTCTAATGTACCCTCCCAAGCCCTTTTCCTCCTACAGCTCCTGGGACACTCCATCTGTACCTATCTTCTGACATTGACAGATGCCTTGACACAACCACCCTCAAGTTCCGTCAACCATCCATGTCGATCAGGGAAGAAATTTCCCAGGAACTAAGGTGTCTTAGAATCTAGGCTATGATGAGATATCCACCCTCTTTTATTTTCTATTGTCCCTACAAATCAGGTAGCTGACATAAATGGTCTTACACTTCACAAATTCAAGAAAAGACATGGCTTGGGGATTCTGAGAGTATATAAAATATGTTAACTGTTTAAAATCAAGACGTGAATTTTCATAAAATATTATTTCCACTTATTGGATGACAGGTTCTTTGGCTGAATTGTCATGAAAAAATGTGTCTAAAAGTCATTTCGGGTCCAATAACTTGGATATAAAGGCAATTGAGAAAGAAGCTGAAATTGGCTGGATATTCTCTGTTTATCTCCTGTTCCATGTCTTGCTGTTGAATAGCAGGCTTCTGTTTTCTATCACCTAGACAATCCTGACAATACAAGTGTCATATGGCTAATCCATGGAGAACACACATGTGTCAATTCTACTGTGTGTGGAGACAGGGTCTTTGAGAACTTTTGTGACACCGAGGAACAGTTCTGACCATGTTTTGGAAAAATCGAAACATAGTTCAACATTGGCTTCCCAGTATGTTGTGGTGATTTTAATTGTACCATTCTTTTCAACTCAATTTCAGGTGAAATGCCCTTATAAGAAAGTAGACTTGAGTTGGTACACTGGCACAGCGAATCCTTGTCCACATGTACACCAACCCATCTGCGGCACCGATATCAAAAGCTATGACAATCCCTGCATCTTGTGTATTGAGAGCTTGTGAGTATCACTGGGGAAAAAGAAGACAATGTTGAATTATTTCATCCACTGAAATCACTACCTAACCCACCTACCAAGCTCATAAGCCCTGAAGGCAAATACTTGCTCGTTTGTACAGATAATAATCAGTTCCCATTCAGCAGAGCATGTAGTTGTAGAAAGCTCACTGGAATAGAAAGCTGTGCTTTCCCACTGAATGGTGCTATTTTTAGGTTCTTTCTTCTTAGGGCTTGTATTCCTGTATGAATTGATGAGTTTTCACTTGAATTCCTCAAATATCCCCCAGAGTCCTAAAATGTCTTGATTTCAAGAAAAACTGTGGTTAGGCCTTCTCTTGAATATATTCACCCCCTCAAGTCTCTGAGCCTCAGAGCTAAGAGCAGGTGGTTACAAACATTTGGATTGTTCAGATAGGATTGTGTGTTTTGTGTGTTTGGATTTACATGGCCTGACATCAATGATGACACACTGAAATTTCAGGTTTGTTCCCTGTATGGGTCAGTGTGATTCACAGGAAGAAAAATTTCTGCATGTCCTCAGAATGGAGTCTTCATTCCAGGAATTATTTTATGTTGTAATTTAAAGAGAAATGTTAAGAATGTGGAAATCCCAGGTTATACTGTATTGAGTAATTCAGCCAAAATGTAAGAATATTGAAATAATAAGTAGAGACTTGATGATGTTATCATCACAAATTTGGGCCTCATTAAAAAACCCATTATCAAAGAAACTGTAGGATATGCTATAATATCTTCTGTGTCATTGTAGAATCATGAATGATAGTTGAATACCAACCTCCCTAGAACAAAACAAAAGCCCTATTCAAATCAAGTTGATTAAAACTCATAGTGATCACTTCAGCTAGGGCAGCACCTCTCCAGTAGGGGCTCGAAAGCTGGCATAGCTTCCCTCCACAGAGCATATAGGGGGTTAGAACCACTGACCTGTCAGTTCACATCCAAGCCCTTAACTACTGTGCCACCAGGGCTCTTTGATACAAGAAGTTGTTGCTAGGTGCTGTTAAGTCAATTCTGACTAATAACTATCCTATGTACATCCAAATGAAACATTGTCTGGTCCTGTGCCATCATCACAATTGTTGTTATGTTGCAGCCAATTGTTGAAGCCCATCTTGCTGAGAGATTTTCTTTTTATTGCTTATCCTCTACTTTACCAAGCACAATGTCCCTCTCCAGGGACAGGTACCTCCTGCTAAGTGATAGGAAGTCCAAATAGCCTGGTTTTTGTATTTAGTAAATTCCCTCTATACTTTGACATTTAATTTCTTCAACTACTAAACTATGCAACAAAGGTGCTAAATAAGACCTGGAGAGAAGATCAAAAGAGAAGGAAGCACTCAATAGTTTTCAAGCTAAAAGAGCTGAAGAAAAGCCATCAAATTTTTGAGTTGCAAATTAAAGGATTTTATTGGCAAATTTCTAAACAAAGCATGAAGCATCAAAAAGGATGGGGAGGGTGTTGGGCAGGATACACAGAATTACAGTACCAAAAATAATTAGTATGTGCATAACCCTTTCAGGAGGTTGCAAATTCTGAAGGACTGATTGTATTGAATGAAATAATACAAAGGATACTGATGGTATTGAAGATTCCAGGAATTGGTGGAACACCAATCGAAATATTTCAACAAATGGACGCAGCGTTGAATGCGTTCACACAGCTTTGCTAAGAAATTTAGATGACACTGATCCAGCTGTAAATAGGGTGTAGTGGTAGTGTCAGATCACTTCCAATTTCACAAGAAGGATGGTGAATCACTATCATTAGTTCCGGCAGCCCAAGGCCAATTCCTGAGAGGTGGAGGTCAGATATGCCTCCATCTACCCATCTTTCCTACCAACTGACACCAACCATTCCTCACAGTATATTTATACTCACTTCGATAGTCAATTAAGACTCATTGTGATCCTTTAGGACTGGATAAAACTATCCCTTTGGGTTCCAAGAGTGTAAAATTTTGTGGGAATAGAAAGCCTCATCTTTCTCCTATATCCCATCTACAGCACACTCTATTTCCCAACTGGATTCCCAACTGGATATTATAACTCATTATAACAGCTGCACAAACTATGCTCATGATTATGAGATTGATTAGGGAAGTTAACAGGTTACGATTCAAGATCAGCAATGTTCAGGATACAATTTTTTTTATAAAGATAATCTCTGCTTCTGATCTTCAACTATGAGGTTCTTCTTAGCTTCGGCCAGGCTTGGGCAGTGATATAAAATTTCTTTAGTGCTGCTAAACAAATTCCCAAAGGACAAACGACTCCCATCATGTCTCATCCGGAAGGCACTCAGCTATGCCTCCATGGGTCAGAAAACGTATCTTCCTCAATCCAGTACCTGTAGGCACCTCACACCACAAGCAAGCCTCCTGACTGAAAGCACTCATTTTTCCTCACCTTACCACTCTTTCTCTTGTTCTGACACCTTGTTCTGTGCTGCCCCTCCTCTGCCACATCGCTGGTATCACAACTATTTGATGGAAGAGGTTCAATGTCCAGGAATCTCAGAGTTCAGAGAACACATTCCATTCCTGGCTTTCCTTTCTTGATGATATTAAGATCACCATCCCCTGTTTCTGAGATCTCTCATTTTATACCAAGTTGCTATCAAAAGGGTGCCATGGTGACATAGTGGTTACATGTTGGGCTGCTAAACACAATGTCAGCAGTTC